CATCAAAACGTTTCAGCAAGCGTCTCTGTCAATTATTATTAAGAATTATGATAAAAAGAGAAGCGCAACGATGCAAAAATGAAGTTGAAGATACAGGAAGCTCGTGTAGATCTAAAGTGCATGCTACGATTCAAAAATACTCGAAAACTCGACTCTTTTTTTTTTTTTTTTTTTTTTTTTTTAGAATTCATTTCGCTGCAGGATGTGCGTTATTTGCAAAATTATGGACGAAAGATTTCTTCCACGATCGTACGTTCTTTATCGCTATTATAGTTATCGCGGTGTCATAAAATTGATTTTTGAGATTTAATATGCAACAGGCATATTGGCGTTGATTGTTGGCAAACTTCGGCCAACTTCTCTTTACTGCCGGTACAGTTATGTATGATAATACGTTACAACGCGATAAAATTGATGTTTAATAGCTACCTTGCAATAAAAAAAATATTGTGAAACTCCTTCGGACTCGAGATGTAAATCGAGTGAAAAAAACATCTTTCAAACTGGTAGAAAATCCATCAGGATCAATTTTAAAATCAATCGTACTTGAAGTTAATTCGTGCATCACATACACGAATCATGCATTTGATCTGTATATTCACAGTGCGTAAATGGTTTTGATAAATTCATTCTTTAATCTTTTCTTTAATTCGGTTCCTGATTACGTTATATTTTCTGATCAACAGTGTAACAAGAATAACGTGAATTTCATCATTCGTTTTGTTATATTAAAAATTGGCAGAAACTTCAGAATTTGTCAACTCCATTATACAATTATAATTAATACATTAATTGTCATGTATTAATATTAATAATATGTTATGTTATAATACAATAATCACAAATATATAATATTATAATACAATATATAACATTAATCACAATATATCACACAAGTATATATATCACATTATTATATACCTCATACCACAAGACACATTTATTAAAAACTAAACAATACCAAATACTAAGTATCAAAATCACAAATCAAGTTGAGTCGAATTATAGAAAAGATCGATTCCGTTGATTTGGAACGAGCATTCATATCCCGTCGCACGACTCTGAAACTTATCGAGCCGAGAAAAGTTGAATTGCGTGTCTCTGAATGATTATTAAGCAAGAGCATCGACATGGACGGAACAGTATGATCCTCGGAAGGCCACTGGATCGTAGCTGTGATCCCGGGGCGTGGCACACCAGTGATCTGAGAAAGGAATCCGTCGTTTTACGTAACAAATCTCGAGCGAGCCACGATCAGCCAGGAAACTGACCGTCTCCTCGCGTGTCCAGGATAGTTTCCACGATTCTTCGCGTCATCCTGGTGCGATACCCTTCCGTCCCTTGATCATTCGTAGCGTACCACCGATCCACTTCCAAGAAGTTTCGCGCACGCATCGTTTGTAATTTCAGGATAGAAATCTCGTGACCCGACTGAATTACCTCTGCCGCTCTCTTCCATTTCCTCCTCTTAATCTCGCTGGTGTTCGATGTATCGATCACACCACGAGAGGAAGATCATCGACAAATTCACACACGAATGACTTTTTAATTGCGAAAATTTAATTGACTGAGCAGTTTAAAGATGGAGAAACATATAAATTCGTCCACAGTAGAATATTTATTTAGTGGACACGTGGAATATCTGCAGTCTACTTTCATTGCTCTCGAGTTTTCTTCTGTAATTTGGGATTATTAATTTCAAACTGCTTTCCAAAATCTGATATCTGCTTTCTGAGTCGTCTGTTCGCATTTGTTCAGAATCGGCAGGAAAACTGGAAATCAATTGGAATACGTTAATATATAATTTTCGCAACTTACATTTTTATATTTGATCTGCAAAAGTATACTGAACAAATGGAAATCATGGTAATTACTTTTAAGCCAAAAGGATTGCGTGTTACTGTGAATATAATGGTATACAATATGCCAAGCCATATTTGTATAGTACCCACTTGGAATATCAGTGTGACGTTACAGTTAGCAAAGACGGCGGGAATTTATGCAAATTCATTTTTTTCAAAGGAATGGAAAATCACGTACCAAATATACTGTAGAGAGCATTATACTTTGAATGTTTCGTTGCTCGTGTCATATTACAATTTTGTAATTACGATTATATTCCAATACCTGTTGTATTATAATTTTACGTGTTTATAATTTTCATCGTCTGTTCACGATGACGAAGTATTGTCTGAGAAATCGAGTGCGAATGATTTTTTAATAATCGTTATCGAAAGTCAAAGATGAAAAATAAAGATCAGCGAACGGGGAGAACCAGATTCTGAGTTGACTGTTTCGATTTTTATGCAAATTCATATTTCTCGATTGCAAATTATTAAATTGTGCTTGAGCAAAGATTCGTTTCACCTGTTAAATATTACAACGAATATCTTTACTTAATATATATTATATTAATTTTGTATTTTAATTCGACAATTTAAACACCTTAGACGCTCGACTCGATTAAGAATAAAAAAATTAGCAATGCGTAGCTCGTTGCCGGTATTATTAACAGACGAAGGACCAAGAGTCTCTAATGAGAATTCGGGCTGGTCCGGCGTCGCAGAGAACCGGTCCGCGCAAAAATTGCGGCGGTTCGTGGAATGACCGGAAGTCGCGCGCTTGACGTTGCTTCCACGCGAGAAACGCCGCCCGGAATCCGTTTCCTCCTCTGGGTATCAATTAGATCGGACAAATTAGAACACCGGCCGAGTCAATATTGATACCGAACCGGGGAATCGGGTAGGAGCGGTAATGAGCGACGTTGCTCTTTCCTCTTTATCCTGGCGTGATGAAGAAGGGAGAAAAAGGGAGCGAGATAAAAAAAAAAAAAAAAAAAAGGAACGAGACAAGAACTACTTAAAAAAAAGAAGAGAGAGAGAGAGAGAGAAGACGAGAAGAGGTATTTAAGGCTACCAACGAACGAACTACCGTACAAAGAGGAGCCGAGACACACGGAGTGAGGGCAGGAACAAAAAGGGGCAGAAAGAGAGAGAGAGAGAGAGAGAGGATGGCAAAAGACGAACAGAGACGAAATAAAAAGACGTGGAAGGAGGAATTAAGAGAGAAAAAGAGGAAGGAAGACAGACAAGAGAGAGAGAGAGAGAGAGAGAGAGAGAGAGAGAGAGACTCTATGCGGTAGCTAAAGCCAGTCAGTCAGGTATGCCTGGAGGCTAGGCCATGATAGACAAGGTCATCCTCTCCCAGCTTTACACGTATGCTCTGGCTACTGCCAGTCCTCGTTTACATTTATTTATTTATAAATATACCGCGGCGCTCGGCTAATGCGCCGTCTCATGAGAGAGAAAGAGAGAGAAGGAGCCAACCGGCCACACGGCGATGGAAGGAGACCGGACCGTCCAGACGGCGATGGAGAGGAACCCCTTCACCTGTAGATCGGCTCTCTTTCATTATTCGGTTAATCGTGGCGCAATAGACGCCGCGAAAAAGGCTACCGCCGTTACTCGTTTCTGAGGATACAAGCCTTTTTTTTTTCTTTCTTTCTTTCTTTTTTTTTTTTTTACTTGCTTCGAGAGAGTTCCGGAATGGTACGGTCGGCTATAACTCGCCGGTGTTTCAACGAGTTTCCGGTTCTGTCGACGATCCGAGATTAGATCAGACGAGGCTCAATTCGACTGATCGGAATTACTTCATTAAATAACGTGGCATTACATTTTCATTTTTACGTGGAATTTTATGTCCAATCGCGTGTATCGCGTTTTATTTTACTTTTAATGTAACATGAAGTTCTCATAACGATAGATAAATTCGGAAGACCAAGTTCTAGAGTTCGAGCAATAGGTTCCTATTATACATTAAAGTTTCTTTTTTGTATAATATAAAATTTTGTGTGTTATAATATAGTAGTTTTTTTTTTTTATTGATAAATAGATTCGAAAGATTAAATCTTGGTGTTAGAGCGATAGTTTTTTGATCAGTTTCAAATCGGTTCTGTCGATGATTCATAAAACTGGATGAATTTTAATTACAACGATTAAGATCTTTCTTTAAATGTTAATTTTGCACGTTACATTTTCTTTCCAAGATTCTTACATTTATGCATTCTTGATAAATACATATATTCGAGAGACTTTGACCCGTTAGCGGCTTTGTCGATGAATCGAGATCAGATTAATTTCATCAATTAAATGTAACTTTGTATATGTTACGTTTTCCATTTCATGTTTGTAATTTGAAATTTTATATTAACAAATAGTAGATTTAGAAGACCAAGTTGTTAGATTTAGAGAAGTGATGTTTTGATTTTTAATCAGTTTCCAATTCTATCAATAATTTATAGATTTTATGTTTTAGTTAGAGATTAAAATCTTTTCTTAAGTATTAATTTTGTATGTTTCTTCTCATTGTCTCTCAAGGATACCTACATGTGTTGTTGATAAATCTACTCGAGAGACTAGATTCCGGTTTTCCAAAGGCAAACTTTGATATTCAATCGGTTTCTAGTTCTGTCGATGATTCATCAAAACGGATATTGAATAAATTTAAATGACGCCAATTAAGATTTTCCACTAACTGGTACTTATGTTACATCATGTTACAGTTTCTTTTTTTTTTTTTTTCCTTTTGACGTATACAATTGACATAAATATACGCCCGCCTGTCGTATTTAATACACACGTAGGTAAATCAACGAGTATACGATTCCTAGAATGAAACTCAAAAGTATAGAAATTAAAAGATGACATTCCCAAAAAATAATTATAATTATTGTACAATGGCACAAAATCTGTGAAACATTACAACACGTTGAAACGTTGACTGTAGATATTAGAAATTTCAATTTACACTTTTCTATAATTACAGTATCTATCTACAGAAGTATTTATTGTGACGTATATTAATTAATCGTATATTTCGCCATTGCTTTCATGCAATTACAAAAATATTTAATATTTAACGACAGTACTTTTCTCGTCCCCATTTCAAATTCCCAAGTTTCCGAATTCACCTAACACGCTGCCCCAATTTGTTATTTGCAGATCTTCGGTAGCAAGGCGGACCTGCAGCTCCACACGCAGATCCACATGCGCGAGGCGAAGCCGTACAAGTGCACCCAGTGCTCGAAGGCGTTCGCGAACTCCTCGTACCTGTCCCAGCACACCAGGATCCACCTGGGCATCAAGCCGTACCGCTGCGAGATTTGCCAGCGGAAGTTCACCCAACTGAGCCACCTACAGCAGCACATCCGCACGCACACCGGTGACAAACCGTACAAGTGCCGGCATCCAGGCTGCACGAAGGCGTTCAGCCAGCTGAGCAACCTACAGAGCCACTCCCGCTGCCATCAGACCGACAAGCCGTACAAGTGTAACTCTTGCTACAAGTGCTTCTCCGACGAGCCCAGCCTGCTCGAGCACATACCGAAGCACAAGGAGTCCAAGCACCTCAAGACGCACATCTGCCAGTACTGCGGCAAGAGTTACACCCAGGAGACCTATCTGGCCAAGCACATGCAGAAACACGCGGAGAGAACGGACAAGAGACCGCCGATAATCGGCACGGGGCTGAGGCCGTCGATTCACTCGATGGCCGCGCATCATCAGGACCACTACTGGCCGAAAGTCAGCCCGGACTCGGTGATCAGCGACCTGCACGATCGGCTGCCGCATCATCACACCGACTACCATCAGAATCAGAATCCGGAGATGATGCTGCCCGGCCACGGGCACCGCGGCGAGTCCATCGAGAACGACTCGAGGCAACAGACACCGCAGCCAGGCGCCAATCATCATCCGAACAGCAGCTCGGCGTTCACGCCGATCTCCTCGATCTCGATAAACTCCATCTCCTCCATGCAACACCCGTTGAACCCTCTGAACCATCTTCACTACCCGGGCAGCCATCATCCAGCATCGAGGCCGTACCTCTACGAGGCGTTCAACTCGACGCAGAAATCGTCGCCGGCGTCGTCCTCGTCCGGCGTGACGCCCGGCACCACCACCAACCAGAACGCGACCTCGTTCCCGAACCAGTTGATCAGCCTCCATCAGATCAGGAATTACGCGCATCAGCCGAACCTCGGCAATCTAGGGAACCTGGGGAACCTAGGCAATCTTAGCAATCTGAGCAACCTAAGCGCGACGATGGAGAGCCACGCTCTCCTCGGCGGACTCAAGGAGAAGCAGTAACTCCGGCGGCTGGTCGCGGAGATTAGGAACAAGAAACAAAAAAAAAAAAAAACAAAAAAAAAAAAGAAAGAAAAAGAAAAGAAAAAAAAAGAAAAAACTGTTTGCTACTTCTCCTCGGTTTCTTTTTTTCTTCTTCGACTGTTCGACCTGTTCCTCGCCCCTGTTGCTTCTTTTCTCCGGGGAAGGTTTGTACGGGTATTCTGAAGATTTCTCGGAACTTTTGATGCTTTTGGCAACTACGTGTTTTTCAGATTCGGCAGGAAAGGAACGACGATTGGATTAGTATTTGGCCGCTTTCTAACGTCGGTGTCTCCCCTGTTCACCTCTTTTTTCGGTAGTTCGTTGTAATATTATTGGGAAGTCTTTTCGAGAACTGTTTGCGGTGTTGTGTGCATGCAGATCGCGAGTGACTTCCTGGCGAAGGGTTCCTGGGGGTTTCAGAGGGTGGTTATTCGCTGTGATTGTCATGAAAAGATACTAGTTGTACGTTTCTCATTTTCGTGAATGCAATGCATGATACAAATGTAAATATACACGAGTGTGTATTGATGCATGATTGTCCATTACAAGATTGAGTAGAAAGAAACGAAGAAAGAAACTGTCCATTTTCTTCCATTGAATGAAAGCTATTGAAGGAAGAAAGATAATATTGTACGCAGACATCTTTCTTTAAATACATTGGATAATTTCTTTTTAACAGACTTTTGTCTTGAATTAATAATGAAGATTATCGCAAAAAGTGTCGCTTACATAAATCTAATTGAGCTGAAAGAAGAAAAAAATGACAGCACACTTTAATTACAACTACAATTTAGTAGCTATTTGAAACAGAAGTTCTCCATTTTCTCTTACTTGTTTTTAAACAACTTCTTTTACCAATGTCGAACTGTTGTTGCATAAATCTAATCAATTAAAAGATACAATACACGCAACGTTTCCTCTCAACGTTTTAAACAAAACTTGTTTTACCAAGCCAGCGCGTAAATCTACCCATTTAGATTGTTACGTGAATCAAATTACAAAGGGAATAACATGAACGTGTGTGTTTCAAATATCGAACAACCCAAAGAAAAGAGAAACGCGTGCTTCGTTCTCTCTCGCGTTCCAAGCGATTTTCTCTATCAGCAACCTTGAACTACTACCACTGAGCTAAAACCATCGTGCGCAAGAGATCGACGAACTCGATCGCGAAAGAGAAGAATCCTACCGTTACTCCATCGGGGAGCCATTAATCTCGTTCGAAAAGCGTTCGCAAGTCGAATGCAAATCGATCCCGGCTCCTTTTAATCGTTTCGACGCTACCATGCATCCATGCATGAAGAACGAATATTAGAAAGTAGCCCTGTTCGGCACCGTATCGATCGGGTAATATCCGATCGATCCTTGCCGTGAATCGGCAGGATCGATCCACGGTCGAGCCCTCCCCGATGTGACCAACCGCGCTGATTGACTTTCACGTTCGTAGCTAGCTAGAAAGTAGCCTGGAAACGATAATCGACGAGCGACAAGCGTGTTTCTCGATGTTCTTTGGAACACTCGCGGCGAATAGCCATCCGACGTGGACAATCCGTGAACTCTCCAGCACGGATTTACTCGTATTTCCTAGTGAAAACTACTTTCGAGGGACCGTCCCTCATCAGTTCCAAGCCGAGTACTTTCATCCTTCCCCCACTTTGCAATCCATCCCGAAGATCTCCTTAGGTTAATGTCAGTCGTTAATCTTCCTATTTCACAGTCCTCCTATTTTCTTTCTTCTTCTTCTTCTTCTTCTTCTTTTTTTTTTCCTTTTTCTTTTTTTGGTTCCTGTCTGTTGATAGTTGACCGTACGCTGCACTGGTCCCATCGATTTATGGTATCGTAAGAGGATGGTTTTAATCTAGCTAGATTTTTTTTTTTTTTTTTTTTTTTTTTTTTTTTTTTTTTTGTTTTTTTTTTTTTTTTTTTTTTTTTTTTTTTTTTCTTAGTTTGAACGAGAAGGTTGTGGCATGGGATATATAGTGATGTTGTTGGGGAAATTCTGGATTTTCTCANTTTTTTTTTTTTTTTTTTTTTTTTTTTTTTTTTTTTTTTTTTTTTATGTAAGTTATTTTATGATATACGCCTGATGTCGTGAAAATGTACAAAAATTATTTGAAGATTATTTTATTGATGTATAAAAGAGGGCAATAATTTAAAAGAAAAAAAAAAGTGTTGGGAATAATCCCAATGATCGCAATAAAAGACTAATTTACTTAAGAAAGTAGCTTAAGTCATTAAGTATCAAGCAACAGTATGCGAAAGCTCTTTAAACAAATGTGAAATGAAATAAATCGTGTAAAGTTTGAAACGTAATGTTGTAAAGTAATTTAATTTCTTCGTCGAACTTCAAACTAAATAGAATAATTCCTTTTGTAATAAGTTTGTTGGAATTCAACTAAAGCGCGAGTTAACTAAAATGTCCTACAAATGACATGTTGATTCTTAATCGGTTATTTCGCGAATTAACGCGTTCAATCTCTGTCATATTTTCTATCGCCAAAATCTCTTCAACTCTTAATTGGTATTATTACCAAGTCATCGGGGACCATAACAATTTCGTATTAGATTAACTCAACTTTGAAATGTTCAATTTAATTTCATTTTATTATCAATCTCTCTGTCATGGAGAATCTAATTTTCATTAATCTGACATAAATTATGAATAGTCATCCGAGGATTGACTTCAGCGGGTATCATTGTTTCGTAATTTAAATTAATTGGAATTAGGTTAGTTAATTTAATATCCTGCTGTTTTTCTCACTTTAGTTGTCTTTCTTTTCTCGCAACACTTTCTTCGCAATGAGCATACCGAATATTTAATATTCAAAGACTGTTTAACAATAATTAAAAATAATAATACCTACTGAAACGTAGGTATTATAATTCATCGAAGATCAAAGGATATTATAAATGTATAACATAATTATTATTAATAGTATATAATATTAATTGTAATTTTCATAAAGATGAAATGAAATGATACATTATCGCAACATTAATCCTCAATGGCTTAAAATACAACATCCATTTCCGCGTAGATCCGAGAAAAAAACAGCAGGATATAAAACACGACATACGAAAACAAAAGAACAACAATCTGATATAAAATATTCAATCCAAATGAAGGGAGTGCAAAGCAAAATGAGGAAACAACTCCACTTTTCAGTAATTTTAGCAAACCAACAAAAAAACGCAATTCGTATTAATGAACTTTCGCTTGGAATTAACTTCTTTCTACGCCAACTGAAAGATCATAGTCTCTTTTTTAAATAAAAATAGAACGAAGGTATATGTATATAAGAAAAGTGGAACTGTAGTCCCTTCTTGCTGCAAACCCTCCAATTCTTACAGTGACAACGATACCAATCGAATGTTCATATTTGAAGACGTTTCGAGAACAGAAGATCTACAAATCTATCGATTCTTTTTCAGTCGTGTACGTTTAAAAACGTTCCTCCAAACATTCCTTTGCGTTAGCGTTCTATCTCGATATGTTGGAGAAACTAAAACTAAAATTTCACTTCGTCATTTTGTGGCTCGCAATTCCAGAGCCACCCTCGACCAGAAGAGAAAGAACTGGCAGAGAACACGTATAAATCGATGGGATCGCGGTTAGTTGCGTTCTTTTCGCGTTTTCCTGCATCCCAGGAGCGTCGTACGTATATACGAGGGAATAGCAAAAGCTAAGAGAAATCGTGTCGTGGAGTAGAGCTATTTTCCAAGGGGGTGGAAACTCACCCCCTGGAAACCGGGTGCGGGGGGGATGGGCACATCTTTCTGGGTCGAGTGGACGTTTCACTCGCAACGGAATAATTAACGAAACGAATGTATGTGTGTATGGTGGTGTGTATCTGAACAAGTCGGAAGAAACTCTTCTATGCGTGTATGTGTATGTACGTGTATGGCTGTGCGTGTTTGGAGGAGTGAATGGAAGAGAAGGAGTAGAAGAAGAAGAAAAAAATGTGGGAGTCTAAGCGTCGCACGCACTTTTTAAGTAGGAGTTACACGCGTACACACACATTACATGAGGGCACAAAATCGTGTGAATACCTTTTTTTGAAACGAGAAGGAGAGAGAGAGAGTGAGTGAGTGAGTGAGTGAATGAGTGAAAGGAAGGTTTAGAATAGGTTGACGACAGTGCCACGAAAAAATTAATGCGAAAGTAACGGAAATAATAGAGAATTAGAAAGGAAACGAGGAGCAAAGAGAGAGAATGTGTGTGTGTGAGTGTATGTGCAAGAAAGGGTTAGAATGTGAGCAACCATATAGGCGCACAGAAAAAAGGAGCGAGAGAGAGAGAGAAAGAGAATCGGTACGGAGAACCTCCTTGTATATAGTTATTATATAAATATATAAATATATATATATATATAAATAAATGAATAAATAAATATTATATATTATTATTATTAATTGATTAATTAATTAATTGATCGATATTCGGTAGCTGCGTAAGGGGAAAAAAAAAGAGAGCAAGAGGATATAGACTCTACTGAAGATATTCTAAGTACCTTGTCTAACGAAAATACAGCGAACAAACGAAAGAGAGAGAGAAAGGGAGGGAGAAAATGAGCGAATAAAGATGTAAACCGTTCGAGTGAGACAAAATGTGAGAGTGAATGGGAGAATGATCGCGAAACAAAAGAAAAATGAATAAAAAAAAGCAAGCAATCGTCGCCCAAAGTTATTTACGATAATTTTTTTTCTTTCTCTTTATGAGCGCGTTTCCGTTCCACGTAGCCGACGTGTCCAACGATCGACCCAGACGATCGATTCCTCATCGTTCTTCTTTCCTATTTCTTCTTTCTTCTTCTTAGACAGTATTCTCATATACGATGAGTGAGAAATCGCAATCGTCGCGGCCGATCGCGGCCGGCTCGTTTAGAGAAATTTCGAGGCGTAAATGCTCGCGAAAGCTCGCCGGGTGGCGAGCGAAAAAGAGAGAGGAACACACGCGTTGTACACTGTAGATAATTTCTTGTTAACGGCGCCGCCGGTGTTTCGTTTCGTGGCCTCCCTTCTCGAATCGACGCGTTCGTGGTGGCAGAGAAGATTACTCTCTTATTTTTTTTTTATCGTTTTCACACATTCTAACCAGCATTTTTACTTTGTTACTTGCTCCCCCCCCCCCCCCTTTTACGATTGTAGAACGTTTAATCCCGCGGGAAAGACAAATGA